ATATATATATATATATATATATATATATATATATATATATCAGAAATTTTAAGAATTAATACAAAACCAGACTGAATAGAATTGTAGTTCCACCAGTGACAAATGTTTACACTCGAATACAAAAAATCAGAACAGCCTTTCACATGCTACATTCGATCCAATGAAACTGTTAGCTGGGAAGAATTCCTATTCAACAAACATGTTTCAAAAATTCTTGGCTTTCACAGTCTTCAACTCTCTGACAATAACTTCTCTTCACTAAGAGTTTTTTAACCTAATCAAATTAACTAATAAAGATGTTCCCAGTGATTCAACATAATTCCAAATAGTATTGGTTAAATGTTGCACTATTCTTCATGTACTTAATGGACAACTATCAGAAGTAAAAATATTCTTCAAGTGAAACTCCTTTTTAATTTGAAATATCAACTAAAAAATAAAATAAAAGTTCTTAATAATTCCTGAAATTAAAGATACAAGTGGTCTTACCATAAGCATTATACATTTTGGGACCCAAATCTGGCCGTACAAAGCATTCTGGAAGTCTTCCAGCTAGGTTCAGAAGTCCGTTTCGGTGAGTGTACTCTGGCAAAGGAAGGACATTCATTAAATCTTGGAAACGTGAAGGCAGTAGTTCACTGAAATCTTCACCTGGTGGCCAGTCCTTCAATTTCAGCAGCATATAGTCTCCATTATCATCTTTCATTCGCTCTATTCAAAGAAAATTCAAAATTATTTACATTAAATGAAAATTATAAAATTTAAAAACTGCAAGACTGTGCTCAAAGCAGTCTGTACAAGCTTGCACAATAATGCTAGCTACTTTTAAAAATGTGTTACATATTGAGAAATGTGGTTAAAATATATCACTAAAGTTAAAAAATATATACATAAGTTTAAAAATTAGAACTTATTTATTATATGAATAAGAAAAACACCTAGCACGGGAAAAATTATTTCAAAAACAAGCTTCTTACAATTGTTACAGAAATCTATTACATGCAATAAGTCTTCTTTTGCCATAAATTACCTATGTATTTTTTAAATAATCTTGAAAGACAGTTTTGTTCCTGCAACAAAGTTAACACTATGAAATTTTAAATAATAAACTGCCTTTAAAAACAGAAAACAATTCCAATTTTAATAATGACATCCATACCAAAGATTAACTTTCTGTAGACTATTCAAACTAGTTGTAATATGTTGTGTATCATTTATATTCCCCTACAAGCTATACACATTTGTTTGTTCCAGTAATTATTTACTTGGAGATAAAATAGTGAATTTTTAAAATTACGATATCAAGAAGTGAAAAAAAAGCTGTATTCTTTTGTTGCTATTTTGCTTATTTTTCTTTTTCCTTTC